ACAGAGCACGATGGTAACAGTTCAAAGTGCGGTTCCGTTAGCATGGAGGGAACTAGATTCAGGTAATCATTGGGGTGTGATCATTTGGATGGGAGAGGTTGTGATGAGGCCTTTCCAAAACCTAGTGGTTAGTGGGTGTGTAAAGACAGTGCAACCTTCCACTGGACAGTAGAACGCGCTAATCACTGCCAGGTGGACTCTCAAAGAGTTGAGACAAAACCTGATGACTTCAAGGACAGAACATAATCCAGGATCAGGGGGATCCCCATCAGTTCAGGCAGAAGTTCTTTTTGTTAGACCCAAGATGAGAAACGTTTCCATTTGGCTCAGTAACATTGCCTAGTGGAGTCCTTCCTGCTGCTGGAGAGGATGTCTTGCACAGCAGGAGAGCACGTGCAGGCTAAAGCAAATGACCATCCAAATACCATGTTCTGAGGTGGAGCGCATGTGGATTGGGATGTCTGATCTCGCTGTTGTACTGGGTCAGGAGATCGGGGAAGTTGTGGAGGGGAATTGGTGGGCAGAATGACATGTGGAGGAGATTGGGAAACCGGAATTGCGTGGGCCAACAGGGTGCGATCAGAATGACCATTGCGTTGTCTTGTTAGATCCTGTGCAGTACCTGAGGCAGGAGAGGTAGAGGCGGGAAGGCGTAGTTGATTTGGCCTGACCAAGAGAGCAGGAGAGCATCACCCTGAGAGTGGTGACCGAGGCCTCCTCTGGAGCAGTATGTGGTACATTTGCTGTTAGTTTGTGATGTGAATAGGTCTCTGGTCGGGGTCCTCCGTCAGGTGAAGATGCTGTGTACTACTGAATTGTGAAGTTCCCTCTCGTGGGCATTGCAAAACGTCTGTTGATCGAGTCCGAGACTACATTTTGTGTCCCTGGATGACAGCCTGCAGACACGAGAATCTGGTGATTGATGAACCAATTGCAGAGATTGTGCATAGAGCGGCCCACCATGTTCCTGTTTGTTGATATAGGAAACGGCAGTAGTGTTGTCTGATATGAGGAGACCGTGATGGGAGTGAATAAACAGAAGAAAGGATTGGCATGCCTTTCTTACAGCTCAGAGTTCCAGGATATTTATGTCAGCTGCATCCGCCACCACCTGCAGAGCAGCCTTCGCGGCGGCCGCGCCCTCCTCCACCAGCACCTTAAAATCCTTCCTTTCGCGCTCCGGAAGGGAGGGCTCGAATTTCGGCAGTGACCCCCACAAGTTAAACTCATATCAACTGAGGAGGGCCTGGTGGTTGGCCACCCGGAGCTGGAAGCTGGCTGACGAATAAAGCTTCCTGCCAAACGAGTCAAGTCTTTTAGAGTCTTTATTTTTGGGTGTGGGTCCTGGTTGACCCCGTCTTTCCCCATGATTTACGGACTCCACCACTAGGGAGTTGGGGGCCGGGCCAGTATAAAGGTATTTGTGCCCTTTCGTGGGCACAAAGTATTTGCGCTCTGCCTTTTTTGATAGTGGGACGAGGGAGGCCGGTGTTGGCCAGAGGGCATTGGAGATGTTAGCCACCCCTTTGTGCAGCAGGAGGGCCACTCTGCCTGGTACCGAGGATGAGAGCACATTAAACAGTGAGTTTGAGGGTCCCCCCAGCTCCTCAGCTTGGAGTTGGAGACAGGATGCAACTTGCTTTAGTAGCACCTGATGAGCCCTGAAGTCCTCCTGCGGTGCGGAGGGGGGTGGGGCTGCAATTTTGTCATTTGGTGCAGGGGAGGGGGCCGGTACGGGGCTCTGCACGTCGGCCGGTGCCACGGGATCCACCCCTTGGTCGGACTCCTCGTGCGGTGCCGAGGATCCATGATCCACCGATCTATCCCTCGGGGGTCTGGATAGTGTGGCTGAAGGGGCCTCCGATGCCCCGGCTATTGACCGAGGGCCTTGCTGGGCATGCACAGGGGGCCGGGGGTCCAATGGCACCACTGGCCTTGCCACAGGGGCCCTTGCCATTGACTCTGGTGCGGCACCGGTAGCACCAGCTGGTCAGGTTGGCCCGGCTGAGTCGTAGGGCACTGCCTGTAGGCCGAGGTTACCAACGACCTATCGGTGCCGTGGGAGCGGTACGAGCGGTGATACCGAGAGCAACGTCTGCCATGGGACCGGGACTCCAATGTCGACAAACGGTGCCGCCTCGAGATGCTACTCCTCGAGACGCTTCGACGCCTGGATCCGTGACGATGCGGAGCTGGCGATCCCCGCCAGGAGCCGTGGGCACGGTGCCTCGATGTGAGAGAGCTGAAGCGAGACCGGCAACGACGCCCATGCCGGGAGCGGCTTCGGTAGCTCCTCCGAGAATAGGAGCATCTACGGTGTCTGCCCGTCCTACCAATACTCTGTACTTGGCGTGGAGCAGTGCCTGGAACTTCGCTCAGACGGCACCCGACCAGACAACCAGTTGGGCGAAGAAAGCGGAGGCTGTGTCCTGACAGGACACTGAGCGGCGAGCGGGCCCGAGAGCGATCCCCTGACCGGGATTGGCATTGGGTCGGTGTTGACTGTCGAGAGCCCAGCGGCAGCAACTGAGTAGACACAACCGGGCTGCTCCGCTCAACCTGAGTCGGAGCTCTAGAGCCCCGGGGGGGGAACTGGGGCTGCCTGATGTGGGTCTAGCCTCACCTCTTGCTTTCTCTCAATGCCTTTGAGAGGACAGGGCCTTTCTCTGCTTCTTGGACGGGGAGCGGTGCCGGCCATCGGAAGGTGCCGGGAGATCGCTGCGCACCGAAGACCAAGTGCCCGGTGCCGATTCTGCTCGGTGCACCGGGGTTGGGGCCAGTGCTGACTCCATGAGAAGGGCCCGAAGTCTAATGTCTCTCTTTTTTAGTTCTGGGTTTAAAGGACCTGCAGATTTTACAGCGGTCGCTGATGTGAGATTCGCCCAAGCAGCGGAGACAGTCGGCGTGCAGGTCACTTCTAGGCATCGAATTGCAGAGCCATTAGCCATTATTTTTGAAAACTCATGGCGATCGGGGGAGTCCCGGATGGACTGGAAAAA